CGGACAACAAAGCTTAGAAGAAAAGCAGCAATATTTTAGTCAAGTCATAGAATGCTGTTTCATCAGTTCAGTCTCATGTACTTAATCTTTCTTCTATTTCTGTTGGGGTTCGATCTTCCAGATTGAACTCTGGGATATAATACTCAGCTCCAGACTTTGTCCCTACAATTAAGTTGCCCATTTTCTTAGTTTCTGAACTCTTATTTCTGTGTGTCTGCATTTAATTTTACTGACATAGCACTCCCTTAAGAACTTCTTGGAGATCTGGTCTGGTGCTGGTAAATTCTTTCAGGTTTTGCTTATCTAGGAATGTTCGTGTCTTTTCTTCCCAAATGAATGATTATCTTGCTGAGTACAGAATTCTCGGTTGAAATTGCTTTTCCCTTAATACTTTGAATATATTCTCCCATTCTTTCCTCGCTCGTATTGTTTCCGATGAGAGATCTGCCGTTAGTCTGATGGGATACCCTTTGTAGGTAACTTGCCGTTTTTCTCTTGCCAGTCTTAGTATCTTGTCTTAGTCTGTGGTTTTGGTCAATCTGGCTATGATGTGTCTTGGAGAAGATCTTCTAGGGTTGGTTCTATTTGAGGTCCTCTGTACTTCTTGAGACTGAATTTTTGAGTGCTTCTCCAGGTTTGGAAAGTTTTCTTAGGATTTCATGGAATAGATTATCAATGCCCTTATGAGTTTCTTCACCTTCTGGGATGCCTATTATCCGGACGTTCAGATGTTTAATTGTATCTAGTATTTCTCGTATATTATTCTCAAATTTCTGGGCCATTTTCTCAGTCTTCGTGTTGGATTTTTCTAGGCTAGCAATTTTCTCTTCTACATCTGAGATTCTATTTTCTGTATGATCTAGTCTGTTTTTAATACTTTCAAGGGAGATTTTGACTTCTTGTATTATAGCCTTCATCTCCAACAGTTCCATCTGATTCTTTCGTAAAGTGTGAAATTCCTCTTTTAGATCTTGCATGAATTTCCTCACCTCCTGGAACTCTTCAACTCCTTTCTCCTACCTCTTCAGCAGTTCTTTGTCTCTCTTCTCTTCCATCTCTGTGAGCTTTGCCACTATGAATGTTCTGAATTCTTTATCAGACATTTCCATGACTTTCATTGAATTGTGTGTGGATAAGGAGGAGTTAACCTTTTCCCTTGGAGGAGAGGTATTTTCCTGCTTCCCCATATTTCTTGTGGTCCTGTAGCGATTTCTATTCATCTCGTGGATGGTCGTTTTCTTCGGAAACTTGGAAGTTCAGTCTGAGGGTTGAGGAGTGTGTAGAAAAGGAAACAGAGAGAGGGAAACAATAGCAACAACAGCAAAAAAACAGACAAGAAACAAAGAAAAAGGGAAAAAATATGAAGAGAAAAACTTTTAAATAATACTGAAAAAAATTAATATTCAAAAAATTCAATAAAACCCAAAAATTAGAAAACCGCGTGGTGTGCAAGCGTGCCGCATGAGCTGGCTAGATTGCAGGAGCCATGGAGCTGTCTCTTGGAGAAGGCCTGTTCTGTTCCCTTCTGCCTCTCCTGGGTTGGGAGGGGGAGAGGGAATTATTAACAAGATAAAGGGCTAGTAGGGGCCAATAGGCCCAGAAAGATGCCTCACCTTAAAAAAAAATTCTAAAAAGCAAAAATTTAAAAAAAAAAGAGGGAGGAGACAGAGAGAGAGAGATAGAGGTAGAGAGAGACAAAGACAGATACAGAGACAGGAGGCCTGAAAGGGATCGTCCTGCTACGCGAGTTTTGTACACTGGAGGCCGAATTATCAGTGGGACCTCTTCATTTCTCTGTTTCCCCCAAAATGGCTAGATAGCAGGAGCCATGGAGCTGTCTCTTGCAGAAGGCTTGTTCTGTTCCCTTCCCAACTTACTGATTTTTTTTTTTTTCGAGAGGTTTTTGCTATAGGGCGCATGCGCTCGCCAGACAGACAGAGAGAGACATAAGAGACAGAAAGCGAGAAATCACCCCCCAGGGGGAATGGTCATGCTGCAATCCCTTCTCCTCCATTCTCCTCCCGGGTTCTCTTGGGCACGCATGCACACATGCCCAGCGTGAGTTTTGAGCCACCGGGTCCGGGATGAGAACCGTAGTCCACTACGTGGGAGTCCGGCGACATAGCCATTACGCTAACTGCTGGTTCCCAACATTACTGATTTTAAAGGCAGGTAATTTAAATATCATCATGACGTTTTACAAAATATATATCTATTATAATATAATAGTTATAAAATATGTATCTATTACAAGATATATATAATTATATATACAAGATATATATTATATATATATAATTATATATATCTTGTGTGTGTGTGTGTGTATATATATATATATATACATATACACACACACACACAAACTAAAAAATATATATGGTATACATATATATGTATGTATATGTATATATGTATATATATATATATACACACAAACTAAAATATATATATGGTATAAATATATATATACACACAAACTAAAATATATAATATATACACACACATATATACAATTTTAGTTTGTATGGGTGCATGCTCTTGCCAGATACAGAGTGAAAGAGAAAGTGAGAAATCACCCCTGACAGAGGGGATGGCCTCATCACAGTCCCTTCTCCATTCTTCTCTTGGGATTTTGGGTACACATGCGCATATACCTGGTATGATTTTCAAACCACCATGTCCGGTACTTGAACTGCTCAGTCAGTCATGTGGAGGAGGTGCAGGGTATCACATGGCAAGAGCTTGCATGTGTCAGTGTCCCTGTCTTATAAAGCCACCAGGATTCAATCATGGGGACTCCACCCTGATGAACTTACTTAATTCTTGCCAACTCCTAAAGACCCCATTTTTTAAGCACTTAGATTGAATTTTGCCCCTCTTAATACCTTCACAATACAACCAAATTTCAGTATATGAATTTTGGGGGTGTACATTTCAATTCGTAGCAGAGTGTATCCGGAGTTTCAACTGCTTCATAATCATATGTAGATACCTTAGGGCAAATTCATGTTATTCTAAAATCATTCAGGGTACCATATTTTTTCCTAAAGTTTATCTATATTCATGGTTGCAGCTTTAGTGTTAACAGCTAGTAAATGCTCATTTTTATCTGTCCACTGAGTTGTGATTCTGCTGGATATGATTTTGTGGTCAGATTGACTATCAAACTACATAAATAATCTAGGAAGCCTGGTGATTTTTAGTGGAATAATTTTAAAATTAATGATAAAGATTTGAAGAATGATTTATAATCCCCAAAGTGTGAAAATGTTATTATTTGCCCCTTCCAAATTATTCTTTGTTCACTTAATACTGCACATTACAAAATGTGAATTACAATAAAGAAAAGATCTTATTATGGAGAATTTAATTCCAGTGTTTTTGCTCTTAGGTTTTTGCAAAGTGTTGATTAGTTTATTGTGCTTTGCACTGTTGGTTTGTGTTGTGTGAACTCATTCTTTAAATGATTCAAGTTTTCAACTCAGCACAGAAGAATAAAGATCCTTCTCTATGTAGGATTACCATCTACCGCTTCTGTGCTTGAATGCAGATTTCGTGATGCTGCAAGTACAGATGGAGAGAATCAGAGACCTGCCTTACTTTACTTACACCTGTACTTTTGAGCTTCTTCTCTAATATGAGGTGGTTAATATGAAATGATAATATCAATATTGTCTGTCAGCATCAACCACCTGACTTTAAAAAAAATGGAAAAATTGTAAGCTGCTGAGGACAGATTTAATCCCCAAATAGGCCAAAGAGCCATACTCAGTTCCACAGTGTGTTACCTTAACACAGCCAGCTGCCTGAGATGTATGACAGCCATGGGACAGGGGACAATGTGAGTGTGGGCTGAAGCTAACACAAAGCTTTTCTTTT